AGGCATGCAGAGAACAATGTGTGCAGCAGACATTTGTTGAAAGTATTAAAGATAAGCACATATAAATGCAAAGTGTTATCCTGAGGCTTATTGTTACTGTTCTTGCCATTTTCGGTTTCTTTGAGTAGGTTCTGGAAAAGAACAAAATGCCAAAAATGCTATATGGATTGACTGTGGAATCCATGCCAGAGAATGGATCTCTCCTGCTTCTGCTTGTGGTTCGTAGACAAGGTAAATATCCACATTCCTTTAAGCCATGTTCTTAAAATGGACCCAAAATCACCTGTCTCAGATCCACTGCACTGTTTACTAAGATGCAATTTCCAGATCACATCCTAAAATTATTGACTCAAATTCTGAAGTGAAGCTTAGGAATCTACAATCTTCACAAGTTCCAGGGTGGCTTAAGTTTGAGAACATGACTTCAAGCATTTAGGTCATCCTAAATAGTGTTGGTCTTTTCCTTTTACATTTCTCTCTGGGCTAAACATTGGAAAACAATTAAGAAATTTTATGCTGGATGGTAATATGTTGCGTGTAGAAAAAGGACTGGAGAAATTACAAATTGGGTCCCAATTAATTCCTATTCTTTGTGTTTAATTGTCCAGACATTTTTGCCATATTCTGCCTTTGCAAGTTGAATATAAAGCACACCACTATAGGCCAACCATGTCTTCCCATATATAATAATAGGGAGTTTTGTCACTGAAGAAAGTTTTGCATCAAAATGCCATATGTAAGACAAATAATATGTCATAAAGTAAAAATATAATGACTAAATCTTAATAATAAATGAAATGGTAAAATTATGCTTCAAATTATGCTTAAAATGGGCATATATGTTCTCTACATTGACTTTAACAAAGAGCCATTGCCACAGGAAAAATAACTCAAAACATGTGTCCTTCTGATAATGGTTATTGCAATCTTTGTATTCACAACACACAACAACACAAACAGATGCATTAGGAAATCAAGAGATGCCCTTAGATCTTTCTTAATAAATGAGGTATATCAAGGTAAAACTATTTCTGCCTTTGCTGGGTCTTGACAAATACAACATTCCTTCTTATTTTCTTGCCATCTTCCCTTCCTCACTCATGAGAGTTGCAGTCTCCTGAGTCTACTGGAAGGTTCCCAATCCAAGATACTGGTAGTATCTTCCTAAATGAGCATGGTTCCAGTGACTAGACTCTTTTTTTTTTTGAGACAGAGACTCACTTGAAACTTTATTTCTCAACATAAGCTCCATCAAGTTCAAGACACTTTTGTAAGTGATGATACCAGCCATTTAGTCCATCCCTAAAAAAATTGAGGGGCCAAGGAATTTAACCATGTCAATGCAGTCTTTTTTGCATTATTACCTGAAGAAAAATGGGTGCCCTTTATAGATTTTTTTTAAGATTAGAAAGAGAAAAAGAAGTCAAAAGGAGCCAAATCAGGACTATAAGGTGGATGTCTGATTTCCCATCAAAATTCTTGCAAAATTGTCTTTGATGAGAGGAATGAGCAGGAACATTGTCATGGTAGAGAAGGCCTCTCTGGTGAAGCTTTCCTGGGGGGGTTTTCTGCTAAAGCTTTGGCTAATAGTCTCAAAACGCTTTCATAATAAGGAAATGTTATCATTCTTTTGGCTCTCCAGAAAGTCAACAAGCAAAATGCCTTGATCATTTCTTAAAACTGTTGCCATGATCTTTGCTTTTGACCGGTCCACTTTTGCCATGACTGGATCACTTCTGCCTCTTGGTAGCCATTGCTTTGATTGTGCTTTGTCTTCTGGATCATACTGGCAAAGCCATGTTTCACCTCCTGTTACAATTCTTCAAAGAAATGCTTCAGGATCTCGATCCCATTTGTTTTAAATTTCTATTGACAATGCTGCTTTTGTCTTCAACTGATCTGAGCATAACAGTTTTGGAACCCATCAAGTAGAAAGTTTGCTCAACTTTAATTTTTCAGTCTGAATTGTGTAACCTGAACCAATTAAGATGTCTATGGTGTCAGCTATTATTTCTGCTGTTAATCATTGGTCCTCTTTAATTAGGGCAAAAACAGGGTGAATTTTTTTCCTTGAAAATTGTTGTGGATGGTCTGCTGCTGGGGGTTTCATCTTCAACATCATCTGGTCCCTTCTTAAAATAAGCTATCCATTTGTAAACTGCTCATTTCTTTGTGGCATTGTCCACATAAACATTTCATAGAGCAGTAATGGTTTCACCATTCTTCCACCAAATTTCACCATAAATGTGATGTTTGTTCTTGCTTCGATCTTATCAGAATTCATGTGTCCTAATAGGGGCTCTTTTCAAACTGATGTCTTATCCTTCTTAGTGCCTCAAACTAGGTCCTTTTCAGACATGTTATAACAAGTTAGTGTAAGTTTGAAATCCATACATAGTATTTTCATAATACATATTCTCCATGAACTTTTTGAAGACCCCTCATTTTGGAGATACATATGATATTTTGATACACGCATAGAATGTATACTGATCACCTCAAACATTTATAATTTCTTTGTGTTGGAACATTCCAAATCTTTTTTCTAGCTATCTTAAAATAGACAATAAATTATTGTTAACAACAGTCACTCTACTGTGCTGTTGAACACTAGAACTTATTTCTTCTATCTAATTGTATTTCTGTGCCCATTAACCAATCCATCTTAATTTCCTCCTCACCCTACCTTTTCCATTATCTGATGATCTTCATTCTACTCTCTACCTCCATGAAATCAGCCTTTTTAGCTCCCCTATGTAAGTAAGAACATATAATATTTGTCTTTCTGTGCTTGGCTTATTTCAGTTAACATAATATCCTCCAGTTCCATCCATGTTGCTGCAAATGACAGGATTTCATTCTTCTTTATGCCTGAATAATATTCCACTATGTATATATACCACATTTTCTTTACCCATTCATCTATTGAACACTTTACATTGATCTATATCTTGGCTAGTGTGAATAGTGCTGCAGTAAACAGGGGAGTGCAGATATCACTTTGATATACTGATTTCTTTTCTTTTGGGATTACCCAGCAGTGGGATTGCTGGATTGTATGTTAGTTCTCCTTTTAACTTTTTGAGAACCTCCATACTGTTTTTCATAATGACTGTACTAATTTACTTTTCACCAACAGTGTGTGTTTCCCTTTCTCCAAATCCTCACCAGCATCTGTTATTTTTTGTCTTTTTGATAATAGCCATTCTAACTGGAGTACAATGATATCTCATTGTAGTTTTGATTTGCATTTCCTTGATGATTAGTGTTGTCAAGCTATTTTTTTATATACTTATTGGTCATTTATATATTTTCTTTTGAGAAATGTTTTTTTGGATCTTTCCCCAGTGTTTTCTTCCAGTAGTTACACAGTTTCGGTCTTACATTTAAGTCTACTCCATTTTGAGTTGACTTTTGCATGTAGTGAGAGATAGGGATCTAGTTTTATTCTTCTGCATTATAAATACTCAGTTTTCTCAGCACTATTTATTGAAGAGACAATCTTTTGCCCAATGTGTGTTCTTGGTGCCTTTGTCAAAAATGAATTGGCTGTAAATGCATGGACTTATTTCTGGGTTGGTTCTCTATTCTGCTTCATTGGTCTATGTGTTTGTTTTTATGTCAGTACCATCCTGTTTTGGCACTACAGCATTGCTTTTCTTGCTCAGAAGGGCTCTCGGTATTTGGGGTCTTTTGTGATTCCCTACAAATTTAGAATTGTCTTTTCTATTTCTGTGAAGAGTTTCATTGTTATTTCAATGAGGATTACATTGAATATGTAGATCACTTCAGGCAGTATGGACATTTTGACATTAATTCTTTCAGTTCATAAGCATGGGATATATTTCCATTTTTTTCTGTGTCCTTTTCAATTTCTTTTGTCAGTGTTTTATAGTTCTCATTGTAGAGATCTTTCACTTTTTTGGTTAAGTTTATTCTAAGGGCTTTTTTTGTAACTATTATAAATGGGATCGCTTTCTTAGTTTCTTTTTTAAATTTTTAGGTGTTGTATAGAAATGCTACTGACTTTTGTATGTTGATTTTATATCCTTCAACTTTACTGAATTCATTTATCAATTCTAATAGTTTTTTGGTGGAGTTTTGTTTTTTCTAAATATAAACTCATGTCATCTGCAAACAAGGATAATTTAATTTTTTCCTTTTCAATTTGAATGCCCTTTATTTCTTTCCCTTGCCTAATTGTTCTGCCTGGGACTTCCTGGTGCAGCTTTTGAAACCACAGTAAGAGCTGAACAACCAGACCCAGGGAAGGATAGGAACTAGGGCAATGCTAGGGTCATTTATGGTAAGGTTCATATGATGGCTTCTTCTCCAGTCACCATTCATTTGGTTATTTATTTTCAGTTGCAAAATTTTATGACAGAAGCTGATTAACCTACCTAGGACTAGATGTCTTCTATCTTGAATAAATTTCCCTTAGAAAAGGTCAGTGAACATAGCCACTGAGAAAATTTTGGGAACCATGAACATGATAATTCTTGCCTATGGTGGTTTCTAATTCTGTAGTTCTAATTCTGTAGATAAAAAGCAAGCATTCTGAGGAAAATAGTGAGGGAGTTTCTGCTCCTTGTGTGTCTCCACACCTCCCACAGAAGGCTGCCCACCCAGTACATACCCATGTACCTCTAACTAAGCATGAAGATATGGCCTGATGCATTAGTTCTCTGGTTTCTACTTCTAAACTTCCACATGCAGCTCTGGTATGACTGGGTACTAGTGAGAGAATAAAAAGAGCTTTAAATCTGGAGTCCTGGCTTCAAACCTCAGTCCTGACACACACCGGCTTTGTGATGTTAACTAGTATCCCTTAATCTCACCAGTGTTTAGATTCCCCTTGAGAATTCTCAAAGGCATGCAGAGAACAATGTGTGCAGCAGACATTTGTTGAAAGTATTAAAGATAAGCACTATATAAATGAAAGTTATTATCCTGAGGCTTATTGTTACTGTTCTTGCCATTTTTCGGTTTTCTTTGAGTAGGTTTCTGGAAAAGAACAAAATGCCAAAAATGCTATATGGATTGACTGTGGAATCCATGCCAGAGAATGGATCTCTCCTGCTTTCTGCTTGTGGTTCGTAGACAAGGTAAATATCCACATTCCTTTAAGCCCATGTTTCTTAAAATGGACATCAACCTGTCTCTCAGATCCATGCACTGTTTTCTAAGATGCAATTTCCAGATCCACATAATATTATTGACTCAAAATTTCTGAAGGTGAAGTTAGGGAATCTACAATCTTCACAATTCCCAGGGAGGCTTAAGTTTGAGAACATGACTTCAAGCATTTAGGTCATCCTAATAGTGTTGGTCTTTTCCTTTCTACATTTCTTCTGGGCTAAAACATTGGGAAAAACATTAAGAAATTTATGCTGATGGTAAATTTTTGCGTGTAAAGAAGGACTGGAGAAATTACCAAATTGGGTCCAATTAATTCCATTTTTGTGTTTATTGTCAGACATTTTTTGCCTATTCTGCCTTTGCAAGTTGATATAAGCACACCACTATAGGGCACATGTCTTCATATATAATAATAGGGAGTTTTGTCACTGATAGAAAGTTTTGCATCAAAATGCCATATGTAGACAATAATATGTCATAAAAGTAAAAAATATATGACTACAATCTTAATAATAAATGAAATGGTAAAATTATGCTTCAAATTATGCTTAATGGGATATATGTCTCTACTTGCTTTAACAAGAAAGCCATTTGACAGGAAAAATAACTCAAAACATGTTCTTCTGTTAATGTTATTGCAATCTTTTGTATTCACAACACACAACACACAAACAGATGCATTAGGAAATCAAGAGATGCCCTTAGATCTTCTTAATAAATGAGGTATATCAAGTAAAACTATTTCTGCCTTGCTGGGTCTTGACAAATACAACATTCCTTTTATTTTCTTGCCATCTTCCTTCCTCACTCATGAGAGTTGCGTCTCCCTGAGTCTACTGGAAGTTCCAATCCAAGATACTGGTAGTATCTTCCCTAAATGAGCATGGTTCCAGTGACTAGATCTTTTTTTTTTGAGACAGAGACTCACTTGTTGCCAGGGCTAGGTGAGTGCCGTGGCATCAGCCTAGCTCACAGCAACTCAACTCCTGGGCTCAAGCATCTCTTGCTCAGCCTCCCGAGTTAAGCTAGAATACAGGCATGCGCCACCATGCCGGCTAATTTTTTTTCTATATTATGTTAGTTGGCAATTAATTTCTTTCTATTTGTAGTGAGACGGGGTCTTGCTGTTGCTCAGGCTGGGTCTCGAACTCCTGAGCTGAGTGATCTGCCCGCCTCAGCCTCCCAGATTGCTAGGATAACAGCGTGAGCCACGCAGCCGGCCTAGTGCTAGATTCTTAATACATCCAGTCATTGTGCTCCTCACCTTAGCTGAAGGTGATGCTAAGGATACTGCTTCATGGTAGTCATCAAGTAGATGGGCTGTTTTTTCTTTCATGTCACCACGTGTCTAGAGGGCTAGGTGGAGTGGATCCGCATTCTTCTCTCCTGACACTGCTCTCCTTCTTCTCTGGAACTTATATAATCTGGTTGCACTCATTGCATCTTCTTCTTATTGCTGTTTATACATTGACTGCCAGTAATTTCCTAATAACTGGGATGTGTTTTTTATTCCCTTGCAACTCTTGCCATCATTCTGAGTGAATTCAAAGTCCATTCCCAGAGTCACCTAACAACATATCTTCATGTTTCTGAATCTTCTGATCTACTTAACCTCACTCAACTCCACTTTAGTATTTCTATGGCCTCCTGGATCTGGAAGAATATTTTCCCGATTTTTAGATCCAGGATATGGCTATTGACAGCAACAAGGAAGGATGGAAGAAGCCTAACAACCTGATTTTCTTAATCTCTTCTACTTCTCTTATTTCCTCACACCTACTCTGACAGTGTTTTTTAATTTTGTTTTCCCCCCTACGTTGGTAGGTTTCCAGTCTCTGCACAAAACCTACTTCCTTCTAGTTTATCAGGCCCTTTACAGGACGCTCTCTCTCCACTACTAGATTGGTCCCATCGCAAACTTGCCTGAACCTTCAATTTCTTGCTCCCTTTGACCTGCCTTTCAAAGACCTGCCCAAACATCTCACAGAATTAACCACTCTTTTGCTGAACCACTTGTACATCCTGCTGTTTTACTAACTACTTGTAACATTGAATCGCTGCTCTTTCCTTTCCACTTACCACTTTTATTGCTTTAGGGCAGACAACCACTCTAAAGTATTTTTGTTCCCATAACCCAGTATATTGTTTGGTCCATGTAACTGGTGCTCACATCCCCTTGTGAAATTTGCAATTTAAATTAATGCTGCAGGTTTAGGCTGAAAGCCAACTTGGGTCCAGAGAGAACCTGAACAGTACGTACTGTTAGGCTAAATATTTATTGCTGCTGGGAAGGTGATAATATACATACAACTTATACATACACAGAGATTGGAGTGAAAACCATTCTTGCCTATCTAACAGTAATGAGAGTGACATTTTACTTAAAATCTTCTATAGTGTCTTATATGCTTTACATCTAATCATTCTTGTGAATGATTATTGGTTAATTTCTAGGTAGAATTTTTTTTTTTTTTTTGAGACAGAGTCATGCTCTGTTGCCAGGCGTAGAGTGAGTGCCATGCATCAGCCTAGCTCACAGCAACCTCAAACTCCTGGGCTCCGCTCCTACTGCCTCAGGCTCCCGAGTAGCTAGAATACAGGCATGTTGCCACCATGCCCGGCTAATTTTTTCTATATATATTAGTTGGCCAATTATTTTTCTATTTATAGTAGGAACGGGTCTTGCCTCTTGCTCAGGCGTTCGGAACTCTTGACTTTGAGCAATCCACCCGCCTCAGCCTCCCAGAGTGCTAGGATTACAGGCGTGAGCCACCGTGCCCAGCCCTCTAGGTAGAAATTGTTGTCCTTGTTTAGGACCATATTAAAGACAAAGCTTTAGTGCACCCTAGGCAAAGAAAGGAGAAAAGCTGGGCAATCCTTGGCCACAGGCCCAGCTGATAGGAATCAGTCAAGTCCTCCTCTCTCACTCTCTCATCCCTCAATCATTCCTACATTCTTTTCCCTCACCCTTTATCCTCGTCTTTCTTCTTTTTCTTTTATTCAGATGCTTCTTAAGGTATAATGGGTTTATGTCCCAATAAACCCATCATAAGTTGAAAATGTTGGAAGTCAAAAGTGCATGTAATACACTTAACCTAACCGACCATCACAGTTTAGCCTAGCCTACCTTTACTGTGCTCAGAACACTTACATTGCCTACAGCTGGGCATAACCATCTAACACAAGGCCTACTTCATAATAAATTGTTGAATATCCCATATAATTTATTGTATATACTATACTGAAAGAGAAAAACAGAATGGTTGTATGGGTACTCAAAGTACAATTTCTACTGAATATGTATCACTTTTGCACCATCATAAAGTCAAAACATCATAAGTCAAACCATTACAAGTTGGGGACCATCTGTAATAGGACAGTGATTTCAATTATGTTACTTGCCATGTTGGTAAATCACACCTTCAACAAATGTTTATTTATTGTCTTTTGTGTGTCGGGCTCAATTCCTTCGGCTACTTTGAAAACAGTTTAGAAGTTCCTCAAAAGAATAAGCATAGGCTGGGCGCGGTAGCTCACGCCTGTAATCCTAGCACTCTGGGAGGCTGAGGCGGGTGGATTGCTCAAGGTCAGGAGTTCAAAACCAGCCTGAGCAAGAGCAAGACCCCTCTCTACTTAAATAAGAAAGAAATTAATTGGCCAACTAATATATATAGAAAAAAATTAGCCGGGCATGGTGGCACATGCCTGTATTCCTAGCTACTCGGGAGGCTGAGGCAGTAGGATTGCTTGAGCCCAGGAGTTTGAGGTTGCTGTGAGCTAGGCTGATGTCATGACACTCATTCTAGCCTGGGCAACAAAGTGTCTCAAAAAAAAAACAACAAAAAGAGTAAGCATAGTGTTACCATATTACCCAGCAATTCTACTCCTAGGTATATAGCCAAGGCAACATTTTTCATTATAGTAAAAAAGTGGAAACAACCTAAATGTTCATCAACTTATGAGTGGAAAAACAAAATATGGTATATCCATGCAATGAGATATCATTCTGTAATGAAATCGATTCATGCTACAATATAGATGAATCTTGAAAATATTATACTAAGTGAAAGAAGCCAAACACAAAAAGGCACATATTTTATGATTCTATTTGATGAAATTTTCAGAATGGGCAAGTCCACAGAGACAGAGGGTCAACTAATGGTTGCCAGAGGCTTGGGGAAGAGGAGGGAGGAGGATTGGGAGTGACTTCTAATGGGAATGAGGGATGGTTGTGATGAAATGTTCTAAAATCACATAGTGGTGATGTTGCACAACTTTGTGAATATACTAAAGACTTCTGAATTTCACACTTTAAAATGGTTAATTTTCTGGTATGTAAATTATATCTCAATAAAACTGTTAAAAAAAATCCTCTGGGATTGCAGCTGCAGCCACACATGAAGGTTGGCACACAGAGCACAGACTGTATTTCAACCCTCAGTCACCTCTTCTGTCTGGAGTCCTACCTATTATAGTAGATGAAGAAATTCTGGGGCTAACATTCATCATCTCTCAGAGCCTAAATTTTTGTAGAAAGATTCCCATCCAATCAGACGTAAAGGTAGGAAGGAAATAAGAGAAATGAAGCAGATAAAGAAACCTACCATGCCACATCTATTAAAAGTTCAGCCAAAAATAAAATAAAATAAAATAAAAAGAACAAAAAGAAAAAAAGTTCAGCCAACATTGTAGAGATGAAAATGATGAATGCTTTATTATTTTGAAAGTAATAGGCTCTTCTAATATTTTTCTAATAATTAATTATTACTGAAGAATGATTCCAACATAAATTACAAATTTGTAGCATAAAAATATGTTTACCTGGTTGTTCAACTATTTAAAGGATGGCTTTTCTCACTCTACAAATTTTGCTTTCTTTTCATTAAAATTTTATTTCTGACCTATAGTAGATTAAAAATAACTTGCATTTTTTCTTTCCTTTCTCTCAGATTTCATAAGTGTTTATTCATAGCAAAGAATTTTAATATGACTTCATGATTGTTCTAGGGAAATATGGATACAATATTTTTAAAATTAAAGGTAAAATGGTAAAGTTTTTGCTATAGGCAAGGTAGCATTTAGAAGACTTATTTTTCTTTTGTCAATAACGAAAAACACTTCTTAACAATGTCTGTTGACTAAAGTTTAAGGTAACAATTGTAAACTAAATTAGGTATTTAATTTAATTTAAATGTAGCAATGTTGACACAAATGAAGATTTTATATCAAAACTTAGTCCTGGACGAAATGATTTAACCAGCTAAAATTTGTCTTTGTGGTTTTCCTGGCTGTATATTTGATCATTTGGGGGCAAACTTCTCAGTCACCAGAATTTGGATACCATCATGTGGGAAATATGTGCTCCTAAACCAAGTATGACTCTGAAGCAGAGAGGAACAAGTTTCAGATGATGTCTATTAGGCACTCATAGCCAGTCCCTAAGAAAAGCTACCACTGATTTTAAAGCCAAATGACCAGATGCATGGGAAATGCACTCAATTCTAGCAAAACTTGAACTCCACAACAAGTTCTAAGGACAATGTAGAAAATACCATCTAATCATGTCTGGGGATAAGAAAAGCTTAGTTTAAGCTCTGATCAATATGGATTATTTAAAAAGGAGCTAAAGTAAGTATAGGTTTTTGTTTCTTTAAATCTTTGTAGTGAGCTTCATGACTTTAATAAAGAGTTATTTTTGTTTCTTAAGGAAAACATCAAAGTTTACAGTTCTATTTTCTGCCTCCATTAAATAGAAAGACTATTAGTACCATGAGCAAGGTGTTTATCACCACTCAGTAGCAGACAGAGTACCTCCTTTTGAGAAATTCATACTCTTCCTGAATGATAAATCTGCAAATATAAACACGCCAAATGACTTAAAAAAAAAAAAAGAAAAGAAATAGACTAAGTTAACAAGCACTTAGATGTAATTGAAAATACTTGGTTTAATTTGTAGGTAATTTATTTGTATGGCAGAGATGAGGCATATGCCAATCTTCTGAAGAATGTGAATTTCTATGTTATGCCGCTGGTTAACGTGGATGGTTATGACTACTCATGGAAAAAGGTAGGTGAAAAGGCAAAGAAAACAAAACATGCTCCCTTTGGGAATATAGGATATACAGACTGAATTATTCATAGAATACTAGGTCTTGGCACAATGGTGTTATTATAAAGTTTTTTAAAACATTTATTATGGAAAATTTAAAACATATGGAAAAGTAGATGTAATTGTATAGTAAACTCCTGTGTAATCATCCCAGAGCTTCAAAGATAATTAACTCATGGCCAATCTTGTTTCATCTGTATTCTTTTTTTTTTTTTTTTTTAAGGCAGAGTCTCACTCTGTTGCCCTGGGTAGAGAGCAGTGGTGTCATCAAAGCTCACTGCAACCTCAGACTCCTGGGCTCGAGGTATCCTCCTGCCTCGCCCTCAAAGAGTGCTAGGATTACAGGCATGAGCCACCACACCCAGCTCACCTGCAGTTTCTACCCACTTCTACTTTACCCATATACATTGTGGTTGATTTATATGTCTTTTATTTCTATTTTAATCCATAGATTCCCTCTCTCTCTTTTTTTTTTTCTTGCAATTTATTTGTCAAAGAAAGATTTTCCTGCTACTGGGATTTTCTAACTGCATTTTCATGTTGTAGTTCAACATATTCTTCTGTCTTCTGTATTTTCTAGTTCATCAACATCATGATTCATGTAAAATTACTCAAGCAATATGAAATACAGTCCTTTCTAATCTACTAAGGGGCCCATAAAAACATAACTGAGTATATATAAATTTAGAAAAACCCACTTGAGTAGCACATATAAATACTAAGGAGGATGAGAATAGTTGGAGTAATTGGAAACATATGGGATTATACAGAAGTTTATGTTACAGAGGAGGTGATTTATGCAGAAGAAGTAGAAATGGTGAAGGGGATCATCTCTGGTGAAAGATCGTCTCTGGTGAAAGAAACACTGTAACTAAATAGTCTGTGGGTATGGGTGGGCAAATGCCAGACTAAGTAAATGAGAATCACCTGGCATAATGCCTAACCCCAATTTAGTATTCAATAAATGACCACATCTATAAACTGATATTATAGTAAATTTATGTTTTAACCTGAGCCACAGTGGAATTCAGTCACTGTTTAGATGTTCTAACTGCCCAAAGGATACTGTCCTTTTGTGTCTGTCCCAATTAGTTCCTGCAGTTTGAGAACTTGATTTTCCCAGGGCTACTGTTGCTATCAAACCACAGCCAGGCCTGGGGGTGGGAGCAGGCTGGGAGGCTTGGCATAGTGTTGATGGGAGTAGGGGAAAAGAGTGCTACATCATCCCAACCTCAGAACTTAAATGAAGTCTGTGCAATGGTTTACATGATCAAACTTCCCAGTTTACCCCAAGAACCCAATGGAGAACTTGCGTTATATTTAGGAACCAGAGTTGAGTCAGTACAACTAACTAAAGGAGCCACCAGGCTAAGGTGTCTTCACATCTCCACCTCCCCTAGGATTGAGACAAGAGCATTGAATTCAATCTAAAGAGAGCACTGAAACTCATGATTCCTGATGTTGAGTTGAGACACAGGTCATTTTGCTTTTCTTCTAAGCAGCTCAAGATGACCCTGTGCATAAAATTCATTTAAAGGAAACAAGACTAAATGAGAAGGCCCATAAGCAGCCTAGTGGAACTAAATGAAATTTTTATTCATGTAGGTCAAAATTGATCAAATATTACCATTTCATTTGGTTCAAACTAACATAGTTTGAGTGGATGTGATTGAGACCTAGGTAGAAATGTGGGCCATGCAAAAGGATTGTTTTGTTTTATAGTACTATGAAATATAATGTTGGGAGGAGCAGGAAGAACACTGTGAAGGCAGCAGTGGGGTGAAGCCATACAAGCTATAGGGTCAAAGGAGAGAAATGCGACCCTAGCTGCTAAGACTTTAAAAGTCATGTCTTTCACTGAGCCCCAAAGGTGGCCATGCTGTTTATCTGTTCGTGATCTGTTTATATAGGATCGGATGTGGAGAAAGAACCGTTCCTACCATGCCAACAATCGTTGCATCGGAACAGACCTGAACAGAAACTTTGCTTCTAAACACTGGTGTGGTAGGTTGTTTGCTTTATTTCTTACAATGTCTCTTCATTAAAAGGGTGATGTTCACAGAGAAAGGCCCATGAATTCCAATCAATTACAGGGGAGGCCTATCCGAATCAGGGAATAATTTAAGTAATACATGTTTTAGGTAAATGTAATGCTATGAATGTTGACTATAGTCAGCAAATCACTTCGACCTCTCCTCTCTGCTGTTTCCTCATCATTAAAATAAGGAAGTTGGATCAGTTCTTTAAGGTCCCTTCTAAGTTCAAAATTCTAAAAAGTCTATTATCCTAGAATAATAAGGAAGTGACTTATGAAACGCCCTACTTTAATAAACAGCATTCATCCTTAGGATATGAAAGACCTAAAATGGGGGGAAACCTCTCACTTTTAATTGCACAGGTAAATGTTTACTTCTACAGTGTTTGAAAATATTTTTCTTTGCTTTCACTATTACTATCTTAAGTCCTTTCTCTCATGAATAATATAAAGAAGATATAAAAATAATGAAAATATTTAAAAAATATAAAGTAAGCCAGTGGGAATTTATCATTCCTGAATTTCAATGAGTTAAAGTCTTCAGTGAATGTTGATTTAGGTATTCAAGAACAGTCTGCTCTCAGGAAGGTAGGTGTCAGTTCACCCTTCTTCCTGCTCCCCACAACATTATATTTCATAGTACGCCAAAACCAAACTACATTGAGCAATGAGCTTGCATCATCTGTATTTTTGTGAGTGAGTACATGTGGCTCCATGGGGACTATAATGGAAATAAGCCATCGTACCCACAGAAACACACTCTCAAACTCAAGTTTTCTGTCTCTTTAGGGCTCTTTCTACTAAAATGCTTGAAATCTCCACCATGACAGTCACAGAATGAGACTTTGACCCTCAGTGTCCAGTGCAGTAGCTGCTAACCAAATGTGGCTATTGAGCACTTAAAATATACCTTGTCTGGGCTGGGCGTGTTGGCTCGGGCCTGTAATCCTAGCACTCTGGGAGGCTGAGGTGGGCGGATCGCTCAAGGTCAGGAGTTTGAGACCAGCCTGAGCAAGTGCAAGACCCAGTCTCTATTAAAAATAGAAAGAAATTAATTGGCAAACTAAAAATACATAGAAAAAATTAGCCAGGCATGGTGGCGCATGCCTGTAGTCCCAGCTATTCAGGAGGCTGTGGCAGAAGGATTGCTTGAGCCCAGGAGTTTGAGGTTGCTGTGAGCTAGGCTGATGCCATGGCACTCTAGCCAGGGCAACAGAGTGAGACTCTGTCTAAAAAAAAAATGTACCTTGTCTGAATTGAGACAGTGGCGAGTATAAAATATACACCAGAATTTGAAGACTTGTTGTGGAAAAAGTAACATAAAATATTTTGTGAAAAATTTTCATATAGTTTACATTTAAAATGATGATACTTTGTACATATTTAGTTAAATAAATTATAATGCCAAATTAGTCTCAGCTATTTTTTTTTTTACTTTTCTTAAAGTGCTTACTTGGAAATTTAAAGTAAGGATGTGACTTGTACCATATTTCTGTTGAACAGCCCAGGTCTGAGGATTCGTATTAGGGCACCACCTCTCTCTAAAATTCTCATGCTCTCCCCCACCTCCATCTCCTATATATAACTCTCTTCTCTAGAACTTTATGCCAAAAATGGAGGGGGGAAGAGTATTCAAAGGTGAGAAAACTATCAAAAATGATTTGCCCAATCACATTATTGCTTAAAAATGAAAACAAATGAAATACTTGAAAAGGCCTTAGATGTTCAGCACATTTCCTCTGGGGGAAATGCATGTTCAACACACATTAAAGTGGTTTTGTATAATAACAGGAAGAAAGCAGAATGAGCTTAAATGAGAAAGGCAGGCTCTGTAAGGACAGAACCCTAGGGCAGGGCTGCGGCTGGATGGACTCAAAACCAGACAGGAACTTGGCCTGGAGCACTGCAGGGAGGCTCAGCAAATCCTTTCTTTCCCCATAGCATCTCTGCGATCCATACTGGCTTTCTTCAGGTCCCAATCTAAGTAATGATGATGAGGAGGATGATAAACAGTAACAGTTATGAAATGCATACTACATGCCAGGTACTGTGCAAAGCGCTTTGTATGCAATAGCTCATCTAATTCTCATTCAATCGTCATTCAACGTATAGTGTTTCCATTTTGAAGATAAGGAAATTGACATGGACATAGGTTTAAGAAAATTTACCCAAGGCCATATAGGTATTAAATGGCAAAGCCAAGATTAGAATCAAGTGATTGGGTGCTTACCAATATGCTGTGTAGTCTTTTATTGTGAAGAATAGTTACCTCCAAGAGTGTCCAAATTGCATCTTCTTTTTTTTTTTTTTTTTTTTTTGAGACAGAGTCTCGCTTTGTTGCCCAGGCTAGAGTGAGTGCCGTGGCGTCAGCCTGGCTCACAGCAACCTCAAACTGCTGGGCTGGAGCGATCCTTCTGCCTCAGCCTCCCGAGTAGCTGGGACTACAGGCATGCGCCACCATGCCCGGCTAATTTTTATATATATATATATATATATCAGTTGGCCAATTAATTTCTTTCTATTTATAGTAGAGACGGGGTCTCGCTCTTGCTCAGGCTGGTTTTGAACTCCTGACCTTGAGCAATCCGCCCGCCTCGGCCTCCCAAGAGCTAGGATTACAGGCGTGAGCCACCGCGCCCGGCCCAAATTGCATCTTCTAAAATAACTGTATTTACTTCATAGGGTTGCTGTGAGGATAAAACGAGATATAGCGTAAATCTACCTAATATCCATTTATCTAAAAATGTAGCACCATAGATATTAGGAGAATACATTGTCAGGGAAACCACCAATTGCAATAGTAGGTACATCCACTCATAACTCCACTTCACCAATTTCATTACAGAGGAAGGTGCATCAAGTTTCTCATGCTCACAAACCTACTGTGGACTTTACCCTGAGTCCGAACCAGAAGTGAAGGCGATGGCTAATTTCTTGAGAAGAAATGTTGACCACATTAAAGCTTACATCAGCATGCATTCATACTCGCAGAAGATATTGTTTCCATATTCCTACAGTCAAAGCAAAAGCAAAGACCACGATGAACTGGTAAGTGCTACTTAATTATTTTGCTTGTTAGGATTTTAGAAATAAAATAATACTTAGTTGAAGAATCAAAAAACTATGGGGAAAATTTTCTCCTCTAGAGGACAAATGAAAATATCAGACAAAGTTTTTGAAGGTCAAGAGGGAACTATTCCACCTGACTTGATCTACATATGAAGCCATATGAGCAAGGACTAGAGTGTATCATGGGACCGCTTTGAAGTCTCTACCTTCCTACGACAGCCTACCACAGATTGTCTCAACACAACACTCATCATTTTGGTATTAGCAGTGGGAATTATTTATGCACTGACCTCTCTAAACCCCAGGGGTTTGGTCCTATTAAAGTACCTCCTCTGATTTCAGCACTGAGGCAAGAGACTGGTTTTTTGGAAGATAGTGGATGATACAGGAAATTCAAGGAGGACCCACACAGTCTTCTACGCCCCCTCTCCACTTTATAGTTACAGATGCTCTATGTTTGGGTTGATAGCAAAAGAGGCAAGGATTCTTGACAGATTGTATGATAGCCAGGCTTAGTCAAATCCTCATCCCAAATGCCTTCCAGACAGTGGAATTGTTATGGCAACAGGCCGATTCTTAAGCAGGAACTGATCTTAGTAGCTTGTTTCCTACTGGTTTATATTTTTTCTGGTTCTCCTAACAGAACAAAACATAGTCACATTAGAGGAGCTAGCAATTGCTGATATAAAGTTATTTGCATTTTCTGAAAATAGCCCACTTAGACCATAAATGTACTTGATATTTGTGCTTCTTTTTTCTTCTCAAGGAGAAACTTTTAAGAAAAGCTCCTTTTTTGATGTTATTTTTGAAGAAATGAAAGGATTTGAAAAGTAGAATTAGTCTGATTGTGTCTTATTTGGGGAATACTATCAGCACAATTATTTTTTGAGTATTATTATGTATAAAATACTATGTTCAATAGACATTCAAAGAAGCTTTAGGTAAGACCTTGCCCTTAAGAGAATATAGTATGGTTAGACAGCCCAACCATTAGCAAATGTTACAAATAGCTGTCTGAACTCTAAGGTGACAGATAGTAACTAATAAATAAGTCACAGATAGTATAACTCACTTCTGACGGAGATACCAAAAGATAGCCTTAACAATTCATTCAGAGGGAAATGCTGAGATAAGTGAGGGGATAAAGTGGTCCCTGTCTATGAGGAAATTACACTCTATTAAGGGGTGACATACTGTCAAGAAACAAGAATAATAATGTGCTATTGACGTCAAGGAACAGATATTAATACCACTTCAGCCAGGCATTGAAAGAGGATTACTATAGGCAGACAAGGAAGAGAGGACCCTCCAATTGGAGGAGATGGCATTCCCCACATGATGGGTATTCAGGGGACCTTAAGAGTGTAAAAGTGGAGGGTGACACTAACAGCAAGTAGATGAAGTCGGCTTGTGAGGGTGTTTAAATGTTAGAATAAATTTGTATTTTAGCATGTAGACAATGAGGTTTCATTAAAACTAATTTTTTGTACAAAGAAATGGCATAACATATAATAATATCCACTGATATTCCTCTGGGTTTTTCAAGATTGTGATTGTGAATACTATGATGCTAGTTCCAATTTCAGGAAAGATCTGGGTAGTTGAGAGCTTCAGCAAAGATCTTTGTAAGCTAAAACCAAATGCAGTTCAAAAGGGACTTAGTTATCCTGCTCTGTACAGGACATACACTCTTTTTGATTTGACCAGTCTGTGGAATTCATTAGACATGTTATACAAGAAGAAAATAGAGTTTGTGAGAAGGATGAGAAGTGAACCATGCATGCATGCATTAGGTGTGTGTATGTGTTTAGAGAAGTTGAATTTAAAGTGTGGTGATAATTTTATTTAGGAATGGAGTAACTCCAAGACTTTGAAATATAATAATATTTAATTTTCCATAATAAATGAATTCCTAAAAAGGCATGTGAGAATTATTTTTTCTGCAAATTAAATATAATTTTCAATGCATTGGAAGTGTTTATGTTTAAAGCCACCCAATTGTGATTCCCATAAAGCAAAACACATATTTTTAAGTTCATTCATTCTTATTAATTTACCATTTGGACAAATCCCAATTTTTCATATATATATTTTGATTCAATTAATATATGATTGTCTTTTAGAAACTTTTAACTGTCCTGTTTCAAAGCTGCATAATTGACTGAAATTTCATATCCCATTGCTTCCAGTCTCTAGTAGCCAGTGAAGCAGTCCGTGCTATTAATAATGTTCACAAAAATATCAGGTATACATATGGCAGTGGCTCGGAAAGTTTATGTAAGTATTTCTTCTTATGATTTTGGTGACTTGTGAGCTACTAAAGAGATCTGTGTGTTCAGTTTTTCTTTGTGGATTTAATTTTCCCAAGTTGAATCTTTAAACAGGGTCACCTATAAAACAATTGGATTGTAACAATTAGTAACACAAGCATAATAGCTAGAACAGTGCTAAACAGAGTCATATTAATAAATGAATATATTACAAAGAAGCCAAAATGATATTTAATAAACTATACTTATCATTATAGAGTAGGGAATATAGAATTGGTATCATACTAGTTGAGTGAATCAAAAAAGCTCAGAAAGGGTCAAAAGAGCGTGTAAGGGCCACCATGTAAGGTTGTGCAGGTTGTACACTACATCAATCTAGGGGACGCCATTTGCACTAGATGCTTTTTAGTGATAGCCTATGTCCAAGAGTATAGCTCATAACACTATAGTTGAATGTCTTTTAGGTATATCACCTTGATGAGAGCTTGTATGTGGCAAATTCTCAACAAACATTTTTTATTAATTTTTGCTGCAAGATGTACACACAGTGGGAAGAACAGAAAGTGACTTGCCCTTTTGAAACTGGAGCAGAGATGGGAAAAGAAGAACAGAAAATAAACACATGCTGGGTGTGGTGGCTGATGCCTGTAACTCCAGCAACTCAGGAGGCTGATGAGTTTAAGATCAGACTGGGCAACACAGGGAGATCCCATCTCTAAAAATATATTAAAAATAATTAGCTGGGAGTGATGGTTCACCTGTTGTCTCAGCTCTTCAGGACACTGGGCCAAGAGGAGCACTTGAGCCCAGGAGCTCGAGGCTAGAGTGAGCTATGATGATGCCACTATACTTCAGCCTCGGTAACAGAACAAGACTCCATCTCTAAAAAAAAAAAAAAAATAAAAAAAAAAAAAAAAAAGGAAAGAAAAGAAAGGAAACACATACTCAGGTGTCAGAAAACTACAGCTAGAAGACCAAATCCAGCCCACTGCTTGTTTTTCCATAGCCTGTGAACTAAAGGTAGTTTTTCTATTTTTTTTTCAAATGGTTTGAAAAAAAATCAAAAGAATAAAATTTGTCACACATGAAAATTACATGAAATTTATATTTCTGTCCATAAATAAAATTTTATTGTAATACAGCCATACTCATTTATTTCCATATTGTGTGATGGCTTTCATGCCAGAATAGTTGAATAGTTATAACAGAGACCATGTGGCCCACAAAACCTAAAATATTACTGTCTGGTCCTTTATAGAAAAAGTTTGCTGACTCCTAATGCAAGCAATTAAATAATAAAACATGGTATAATTCCAGCAATAAATGTTTTGAGTAAAATAGGATAGGTTTATGGGCTTGAGAACAACTGTAAGTGACAGAGGCTACTTAGCTAAAGTGGACTGGGAAGGTCTCTCTCTGCAGATGACATTTCTGGGAGATCTACCTAGTAAGTGGCTGCCAAACAAAGGTGCAGGGGAAAACCTGGGAGAGGGAATAGCATGTGAAAAGGTCTTCAGACAATGTATTCAAAGACTCAGTTTCTTTTAACAGGTATGATGTACAGGGTTATAAAAACAGTCAAATTTGTATTTTCAATAAATTGCTTGAGCACCAGATGCCTATTTGTAGACAGTTCACAATTTCCCTCTTCCTCTCTCCCCAGCCACCCCAAATTGTCAGCCAGACAATTAGTCCACATGGTATCCCTGTCTCTTGGTGTCACTGGTCCACTGCTGCCTTTGCTGATCCAGTAGTCCCTTGCCTTATTGCAGAGGAAAATCACAACTTACCTTCACAATTCAGAGCTTTCCTGCTTCCCATCTACTTCTCCATTATTATTCCCCAAAGCATTAACTACAGTGCCTCAGGGCTGGAGGAGCTTGCAAAGGAACCTTCTGTTATGGTGACATCAGTCCATCTCCACACATTATTCATACAGCATGCATCTATAAGTATGTGTGTGTAAGCATCAGAAAATGGCTGGAAGAATAAATGCCAGATGTTGATAATGGTTATCAGAAATATTCAACGAATGAATAAATGCATGAACAAATAACTTACCTAACCCACTGTTCATGGATATTTTTTGATATTTTAAACAGTAGGAATCAACCATATAATTAATGCAAGTATAGGTAGAAAGAGGCAAAAATGATTATTCTTTGCATATTATATAATTTTCTACCTGTAGAAAACTAGAAAACCAACCAAAAATATTAGTAACAATCAAAGAGTTGAGTAAGGTGGCTAACTATGAATTAAACATACACAAATCTATAACTTTTCAAAAATAATCATGTAGAAAATAAAATGAAAAAAGATCTCACTGCTCCCCCATTACATACATACATACACACATACACATATATATGGATTCATTGTTAAATGTATATGTGTGTACACATAACATACACACAATAAAGTCATAGGACCTATATGAAACAGAAAATTTAACTGCTCTACATAAAAGAAGACAAATTAAAGAAGACGCCTATCATATTTACCAGTGGGAAAGCAATATAAAAATATTATGTATTAATTTCTATATTTAATACAATTTTAATGAACATTTAAATTATTTTGAAGTTTATTTGAAAGAATAAATTTGGTAGAAGAGCTTGTAAAATTCTGAAAATAAGAATAGTAAGAGAGAATTTGCCCCCAGCCAGATATTAAAGCATGTTATAAACCTATAGTAATTAGGACAACATGGAACTGGGCCTAGAAGAGACAGATCAGTAGAAAGGAATAGTAAGTATAGAAAGACACTCAAATATATAAGGAGATCTGATGTCTCATAAAGAAGGAATTTCAAACCAGTTAAAAATGTTAGATTATTTAATTAATGGGATTGGAAAACCTGACAAGTTACCTAGAAAAAAAATTTATTGTATTATTGTAAAAATAATTGTATTATTAACATGTCTTTCACCAAAGTAAATTAAAGATAAATCAAATATTTTAATATAAAAACCCTGCCATAAACTAAGTTGAAAGCTAAATAACCAAATGAGAGAAAAAAAATTCTCTGCATATTACACAGGGCTAATAACACTAATGTTGCTTTTATAAAGAATCTGTAAAATGAACCAAGTAGAAAAATGAGGAAAGACAATTGATAGAAAATATAGACAATAAATATGTCAAATAAAATGTGCAACTCACTGGTGATTAAAGAAACATAATGCTTAATTCCTATTGATGGTGCTAGAGGGGAAAGTGGGCCTATTCATACCCTGCTCATGGATGTATAAATTAGTTCAAGTCTTTTGAAATCTGTTGGGGAATGTGTATTGTAAAAAATGCATACCCTTAGATTAGCAAATCTCCTTCTAGGAAAGAATATTCTCAAAAAACAAAGAAGCCATTATGCATAAACAAGGGTGCTCATTGTAAAGTTAAAAACTGGAAAAAATCAAAGGTATTCAAATAAATAAATAATTATTTAAATCTTTTATATCTAGCTTTACAACGCAATGCTATATCATTGAAAAGGATTATGTTGAGTTAAGGTCATTAATATTAGATTTAAATATGTAACAATGATTATGTTTAGAAATATTATAAAACAGCATATTGTGTGATCTTATTTACCTAGTAAAAAATATTAAGTATGTGAATGCATGTACTGATTAAAAAAAGCACTAAAACATTATTGGTGATTAGCCAGGTAGGATTATGGTATAGTTATGGGTAGTTTTTGTTTTCTTCCTTAACTTGTTTTTCTTCAATCTCCATTTTGTACAAGAAATTTAGGTTAATAACCAAAAAAGCAAAGCTATTTTTATTTCTAGAAAAAAAATCCCATTTTGTTAATTAATTTGAAACATCAATATTTCAAAAAGTATTTTCTTTCTTCTTTTAGACCTAGCTCCTGGAGGTGCAGATGACTGGATCCATGATTTGGGCGTCAAGTATTCTTTTACAATTGAACTGCGAGATAAGGGCAATCCTTATGGATTCCTGCTGCCAGAGAGTTACATCAGACCCACTTGTGAAGAAGCTCGTGTGGCTGTCTCTGAAATAGCTTGGCATGTCATTAGGAATGTTTAATGCCCTTGATGTTATCACTCTCCCTTCATATTTTAATTTATTAATTCCAGGGAGACCAAATCCCAAATCATTGTACCTGTTTTTTTATCAGTAGTTTTGATAAAAGGTTTTCCTATTCCTTCGTTTTGTCAAAGAACAATACATGCTACTTTGAAATTAAGGCAGATAAGCGTTCATGAATTTTTACCGTTTTTGTTGTTTTGTAAGAGGGTAGGTACTGATTTTTTTTTTTCCTGTGATTTCCGACGTTTGACTAGCTATCTCGAGCAATTTCAATAACTAGTTTCATGCAGGTCATTGGCTCCTAAAAAGGAAAGGTGGTGAGGAGTACATTGAAGATTTCTGCTCCAAATTTTCAATAAATTTCTGCTTGCCCCTTTAAAAGCACACCTATGCATTTCATTAGCTCCATAGTAATAGGTGATGGCTCACAAAGGGGAGGGGTGTCAAAAACCACAAACATTACCTCTCACTCCAGCTCAGCTGCTTAGTAAACATCGTTGAGCAAATGCATGAATGGCTGTAGTGACTGTCAACAACAAATGTGGCATTTTATGCATCTGCAGCAGGCTTATTGTAAGAAATTATGCAATAAAAAGATAAAACTCTCTTAAATTCACTTATTTATTTTTTTTGAGTCAGAGTCTCACTTTGTTGCCCAGGTTAGAGTGAGTGGCGTGGCGTCAGCCTAGCTCACAGCAACCTCAAACTCCTGGGCTCAAGCAATCCTCCTGCCTCAGCCTCCCAAGTAGCTGGGACTACAGGCATGCGCCACCATGCCTGGCTAATTTTTTTCTATATATGTTAGTTGGCCAACTAATTTCTTTCTATTTAGAGTAGAGACCGGGTCTTGCTCTTACTCAGGCTGGTTTCAAACTCCTGACCTCGAGCAATCCGCCCGCCCCGGCCTCCCAGAGTGCTAGGATAACAGGCGTGAGCTACCGCGCTCGGCCTTAAATTCACTTTTGATTGGGAATTTTAGTTGTCTCTGACTCCCAATTTACCCTCCTGGGATCTCTTGCAATGAATGCACAGACTTGCTGATTTCCACCGCCCGCCACACTCACTCCTCAGAGTCTACGTTACGCCCAGAGGGCGTGTCCGCGAAGGGGCGGTGCCTGGCGCTGACGACTAATCTGGCCGCCGGAAGCTGCCTAGGTCCAGAGAGGAACAGGGCAAACCCCGACTTCCGGCGGCATTTTGAGGCGAAACTCTTAGCGGCCTGATAGTGTTTTTTTCGTCTTGTTTTATTCTACAGTTTTCGTTCTTTTTCTTCCTACGTGCTAGTCTCGCCTGACCCTGGCGAAACAGCGGGCGGGTTCCGCTTCTCGCCTGTCTCGGGGGCCCTTCGCTAGCCGAGGGCCGGTTCCCGGGAGCCGCGCGCGCACCTCCTTCTCGTCGTCGTCCTCCCCGGGCCAGGCGCGGGGACAGAGAGTGGCCTCCCCCGCTCCTCGGAGCGGAGGCGGCGGTGGTGCCTCCGGGCTGCGCTTGTCAAGGGAGCTTGAGGAGGAGGTAAGCTTTCTGTGAATTGGCGTGGGTATTTGGAGAAAGGCGTTGAACGAACTCGAAGTGGGGAGGCCCAAGTTGTCCTCCATCCCTACTCAAGTCGCACTTGGATTTTGAGCTCTCCTGAGCATTTCACCCTTTACTATGCGGTAGCTGTCTGTGCTCAGACCTCACTTCTCGCTCTAGTTTTGATTTCGGTATTTCAAAGGGGACAGACTCAGACAAAAGGCTGTGTCCCTAACTACAATTTGATTTAGGCATGAACACCCTTGCACAGTATTCGCATTTGTGTGAGATGGGAAGGTGCAGCAATATGATTTTAGATTTAGAGTCTTCCTCTGCGCATTCCAGACCTATTAGAGAAAAAGAGATCTTACTTTTGATTATTTAGTCTTGCTTATTTCTCGGCAGTGATAACTTAAAGATTTAGGTCCTGGGAGTTGAAGCGAGCTCCTTCATCCTCACATTCCCTAGGTAGTTACTTTTGGCAACTCTGTCAGAAACTGGGGAAAGTAGAATGAAAGGAGAGGGTCTGATATTTGGCATTATTTTTTCTAAATAGGTTAACATAATTTATGTGGTTTGAAAATTATTCAGAGTTGATAATACTTGAATGGTATTGGTAGGATCTTGTTTGTGAAGGGTAGTGTCTTAAGCTACGTGGTTATACTATTAGGCTTTCAGATAATTTGAATTACATTGAAAATTGTGGGAGTATGACATTTTTACAGGTTTGGGGATTTTTAAAGAAGTAATTTTAAAAGTTGAGAAAATATCTTTACACCTCAAGTTTTCAAAGTTCATGATACTGTTGCAGTAAATTCAAAAGCTTATGCAGTTCATTCTCTGCCAGTTATGGTGCCAGTTGCTGGGATCTAGTCTTGTAATATGTGAAATTATTGGCTTTAGTACCTAAATGACAATTTTTGGAGAGTTTTGTGGGTACAATCTGTAGATTTTCAAATTTCTAATTTCTTAGTGAACTATTTAATTATAACAAATGACAGATTCAACAAGAGACTACGGAAGTTGATGCAGGCATGCAGCAATTTGTGTCTGTAAAAATAGTTGCACTGTGAAACTGAGGCTTTCACTATATGTATCTGGTAGGATCCAGTTTTATCAAATATATGTCTTTCACTGGCTTCCTGATTACTAATCATTCAGAATGAACATTGATTGTATATTTTGAGATTTGCAAACTTACCTGATTTTCATATCTGCAATATGAATTAAAAATATTAAAATCGAGCTAATGGATGCTATTTTATGATAACTTATGTACAAGTTATTAAAATTTTAATAAGTCATCAGTGTTTATTTATATAATAAAATGCATTGGCATTTACACATGGAAAGCAAATTATTTCATTTGGAGAATTGGTTTTCAGTGGATGTTAGTATTCCCTACTACCTTCATCTCCTACACCCCATCTCCTATAGAAGTGGAGATATTTCACCAGATATTCAGTAGCAGTTGAAACATTAACTGCTGTTGATATTGCAAGTGTCGTTTATTCTTTTTTTTTTTTTTTTTTTGTGGTGGTGGTTTTGTATGTTGCTGTTGTATATACTTTGGTTTATTGTAGTTGCCAGCATGGGATATTTTCAGTCACAGTCTTTTTAAATTCTTTTTTTCTGCACAGTGATACAGTATTGCTTTGCTAATTCCTGTGTTGTCAGCTTAAGTCTTGTCAATAAACATATGTCAGTTCTAGTATCTTCACTTCAATCCATAATTACATCTTTCCAAGGTCTCATCTACCAGTAGCATAAAACACAAACCATTTTAATCTGGATGAGTAGCAGAATTATTAGGAAACTGTCAAATAATTAAGCAATTAAAACCACGTAAATGTACTAACTAGTAGTAGGATAAATCCCTATACCCTGAATTTCTAAGATTACAAGGGTTATATTAAAAACAAGGCCTCTTCACATTTATATTTCATATTTTTAAAAAGAAAAAAAGTGGAATTCTTGTGGTATTCATCTTCCTTTGTGGACCCAAATTTTTAAATAGGATTGAAAGTTCTAATTAAGTTACATAAGTTTGTAACTTAGTTTTAAATTAGTATGTATAAAAGGAAATGTTTTTCTGGTATATTGTAGGTTATATATATATTTTTAGATAAATGGGATTTTGAAAGTTATATATTATGTTCATTATATTAATGCAAACTCATGAATGTCTCATTAGTGATGTCTAGTTAATTTGTTATTGTTGACTACTGATAGAAGTTCCTAGAAGGATAATCAGAAGAATTCCTCTTTCAGTTAGAAATCTTCAATTCCTACTTTTTCTTCTTTTCCCTCAGATTTTTTAAATTTACATATGTGTGTGTGTGTGTGTGTGTGTGTATATGTGTGTTAAATTTTCTGGCTAGGACCTTTTTTGTAACTTAGACCTGATACTCAGATGCAGTGTCACCTTAGGGAAAGGTCTGGCACTGGCGGACTGTCTGAGAAAAAAGAATAAATTTTTACTTCATTTCATTTATTCCCTAAGTTGGAAGACTCAGCAGTAGCTGGAAGTAAAATTCTGGGATAATCACTATGTAGGTGAATCTTGAGTAGTTCTTGATGTCACCTGTAAAAGCAGTTTTGTCTGTCTAGAAAGCAACTTTTTTAGTGGCAGGAATACAAGGGGGTGGAGAGAATTAATCATTAGTCCTCACTGGATTGTTATATCAGTCCAAACCCTTTGAAATCTTCAAAGCTTTTTTGAGGGGTCCAGGACTGGAAAGGAGCTGTGGGACCATGCTTTCCAGCAGAACAGTAGTTGAAGGGCAGAGAGTAGTGCTGATCCAAGCAACAGATGACAGAACAGGAAAAGAAACTGTAAAGTTAATACCTGGAGTCCTCAGAAAAATAACAAAGGACACGATAGATGACCACTGTTTAAAGTATAGTAATAAATATTTTGTTATCCTAACTGTGGGAACCATTATCATTGTGTTTTTTTTGGGGGGGGGGTTTGGAAGGAGAGTGTTTTGGAAGTGAAGCCATTTTGGGGGTAGAGGTGTTGGGGGCAGAACTACAGAATTTTCATTAATAGTGGAGCGAAAAATGTAAGGCTGAGGTTAGTCTACCTGAGGCAGTGTGGTAGGACGGTTTGTGTATTTTCCAAGTTATGGATAACTAGCTATAAGGAAATTTTGGAGCCCACTCAATTTTGTTTATTAAGAAATGTTTTTAAAACTTGAATAAATAGTTGAGAATTATACTGTATATCTGTATATTAGTATTTATGGCAGTATATAATGAAATTTTAAAATGTGTTTTTCTCTAAATTTTTTCTATATATTTTGTGACAAATTTCCATCTTTTTGAATCTTGCTTAGATATAAATTGTATTTTTCTCAGTTAATCAAAACTCGACATTTTCTAGGTCTTTCTCAGCTCCACTTCTTTTAGCTTTCAGTTCATTATGTTAAATAAATCAAATGGGCATAAGAAATTTCACCAGTTTTTCCTCCGTAAGTTCACATTTAGTCTGAGAATGAGTCCAAGAAAAATTAAATCAGTGATTGTCTTATAATGCTAACACCAGTGTGTAGAGTTAGTGTATAGATCCTTACTTGGAGAGTGTTTGATACATAAAAGATTTTATGTTGCAGCAAATTCTTGTTTGTCTCTGATACCCTACACTAATTTTTAAATTTGTAATTGTTTAAAGTTACTCTCTAACTTCTTTGAATCACTAAAAATTAACTACTGTTGTATTAAAAATCATTACATTTTATATTAATGAATAAGAAGACTATAGATTTTCTAATTCAAAATCCCCATACTGTATCATTTCATATTTTCCTTTTCTTGGTTCACCGTGTTTTTTCATTTGTCAAACGTTCTCATTCTTCGGATCCTTTTGAAAATGTGACCTGAGGTACCTAGTAGAACCGAATATTGTTTATAATTTTTTTTGTTTTGATTTGGTACTGCTGTGATCTAATTTCCTTTCAAGTAATATGTCTTCACTTTGAAACCACTTTAAAGAGCATTTGTAGGGCCAGGTGGGGTGGCTCACTCCTGTAAATCCTAGCACTCTGGGAGGCCGAGATGGGTGGATTGTTTGAGCTCGGAGTTTGAGACCAGCCTGAGCAAGAGTGAGACCCCATCTCTACTAAAACTAGAAAGAAATTACTTGGACAGCTAAAAATATATAGAAAAAAAATTAGCCGGACATGGTGGCTCATGCCTGTAGTCTTAGCTACTTGGGAGACTGAGGCAGAAGGATCGCTTGAGCCCAGGAGTTTGGGGTTGCTGTGAGCTCGTCTGATGCCATGGAACTCTAGCCCAGGCAACAAAGTGAGACTGTCTCAAAAAAAAAAAAGAGAGCGAGCGAGCGAGCGCGCACTTGTGATCTTTATAGAGACCACTTTTATACCAAATGAAGATTTTTTAGCTGGCTTGGTTTATTCTATTATAGTAATTTTTGGTGAGTAATAAGATTTCAGCTAATATTTAGATTGTGTGAAATGTGATGTAGTTTAGGTTTTTTTCCTTTTCCTAGTTAGACAATTCCAACCCTCTTCCCTACGCTCTCCTCTGGGTTATATCTAGGGCTAGAATTTAATATTATTTCCTAATATATATCATACTACCATTATCTGATGTTTGCATTTCTAGTTGAATCATCCAATTATGTAATTGATTAGTTTTCTATTATAGTTTTTTGCTTTATGTTTTATATAGTTTTGTTTTATAGTTTTTGTTTTCTATTATAGTTTTATGTTTTATTTACTTTTAACAATATTTGTATAATCCCCCCTTTTTCTCTTGTTACTAATAATGGTCAAATACTCTATTTGGATTTTTTAGCACCTTTGACTTTTTATGTCAATGTGTAGTGTAGATTATAGAAACACCTTGACTTTTTCTAGTTCTATAGCCTGTCCTGTTTTGTAAGAAAGTCATTTTATCAATGTTGAAATTTGTTTTGTTTTTTTGTATTACTGGGAAATAAATGTCTTGATCAAATTGCTTTTCTTTGACTTCTGTAAGGGAAAGAAAATAATTAAATAGCATATTTAAATGAATTTTTCTCCCAAGCTGATTTTTGGAACATAATGACTATTGTTACTTAAATTATACATGATTTCTACTATCAACAAAATTTTCACCTAGTTTTATTTTCCCTTTTCTTTGGCATAACTCTTTTTCAGTTAACCAGTTAATGGTTAACAACTTTTCCTTAAAGGACAGTTACTGAATTTTGAAGCAGTTTTTTTTTAACTTATAAACTAAATGTTTCATACTATCTTTTCTGAAGTTGATTGTACTATGAAAACTTTACTGTGTGAGTAGAATCATATTTATTCACTCCACAAAAGAGGTACAATTCTAGCCAACAGATTTCAAAGTTGTTATCAATTCTTTAGTAAGACATGGTTTAGAAGATAACCTTCTCTGTGTTTACCTGTGACTTCTCCTATGCTTTTTTCTCCCAAGGAAAATCCCCTGTAATTTTGCAGTGTTACCTACAATTTTGTCTACTTGTAAGTTTGGGGCTCAGTTATTTAAAAGTGAAGAATTTTACAGTTTTGCCTCTCTCTCTTTTTGGTTAAAGTAGTACAAAATGTCAAAAATTAGAAGGAAGGTCACAGTGGAAAATACCAAGACCATATCTGATAGCACATCCCGAAGACCCAGTGTGTTTGAGAGGCTTGGACCCAGCACTGGCAGTACAGCAGAGGTGAGTTGTCACTAGTACAGTCACAGGGGTTCTCTTAGAATCCTATTATTGAAATACTGGTTTGTATTATAAAGGTGAACAGGTTGTTTTATTGTAGGAATGTTGGTTTAGTACATCTTTAAAAAATGTGTTTTATAAAAAGGAGTGAAAACGTTGGTAGGGTTTATGGGTTTTTCATATTTTTTCTGATGCTTTTATTTGGGGAGTAATATATCACAGATTAGCTGGAATTTTGGTAGCATTTGTTTTTAATTTTGTCCCACTAGCATTTCTTTTCTAGAAATAAATATGAAATTTACATCGTAATATCTGTCTCTTAGACACAGTGCCGTAACTGGCTGAAGACTGGCAACTGCCTCTATGGAAACACATGTAGATTCGTACATGGCCCTTCACCTCGTGGTAAAGGTTATAGCAGCAATTATAGAAGGTAAATTGAGAACTTTGATTTATTCACATATTATTAGAAGATGGTTTTTGTAATTAATTTCGTGTAAAAATCTGAAATACAACCATTTATTTGGTCAACTTTTCTGTTTTGTTGCTAATCTTGTCAATAGTCAATGATTGGCAGGATCTTTTTGTTATTTTCAAGATTAATAAAATGTTTGCTTTAAAATTATTTGTTCAATATTTACTTGTTTGCACAGTAGATATTTTTATAATATATATATGGCTTACTTCCCCCCCATTGTGTATTAAATTGCTGCCATATTCAGCAGAATTTCATGGTATCTGAATTTATTTTTAGTGAGGATAGACTATTTTTAATTTTAAAGCATTAAAATTTAAATAGGGCATAATTTTAGCTTTTCAAAATGTTCTAAGTTCAAAGCTTATACGAACTCTTGATTAAAATGCATTTGCTAAATCCTTTATCACAATATGTTAATGTCAATGAAAATCTGTATTTATATGTGATAAATGTACTACCTATTTAGAATATAATTTTGCCTTTATTAAAGGCTTAGCTAATTTAAACTTGCTTAATAAAGAATTTTTATTTTTCTTTTGGTTCCTGCATGATGATTTTGTTATGGCTGATGTTTTTATTTGGGGAGTAATATATCACAGATTAGCTGGAATTTTGGTAGCGTTTGTTTTTAATTCTGTCCCCAAATTAAAGATGTAATGTTTACAGATGCAATATACATAAAGATTATCACAAAAATAGTTTAAACTTGATTGGTAAATAAATAATTTACCTAGTTGTAAAATTGGGTATGCTGATTGCTTTGGCACATCAACGGTATAAAAACTGAACATTAGCAACCGGAGATTTTTTTTAATTGGATGATTTTTTTTGTTTGTGGTGTGTGGGTAGATTTTGAAGTTTAGTAGAATTTAAAATTCAAACACTTAAACATTAGCTAACTTTCTGTTCACTTAAATGTTGTACAATTTAGTTTATTTGTGATGCTGAATACTGTTTTATTTGTGTTTAGGTTGTCATTTGTCACTTCTGTTAAGGTGGGAAAATTAGCCTTTATTGTGTATGTTTAATTACTTGTGTATACACTTGTAGACCCACACCTGCGGAAACTATTTCAATAATTTTAATGTTTTGTTTATATAGAATCATACTTTTAATACATGCTTTATCTTTGAAATTTGTTAACTAAAAGTTTTTATATGAGAAAAATAGGCAGAGAAATTTGTCTACAGTGGAAAAAAGTAAAGTCACTACTAAGAATAAAGGATTTTTGTTATAATTTGGCTATTTTGTGTGTTTTTCCATCTGATAACTTTTGTATTTGTGTATTTTTTTTGTAGGGAGGAAACATAGTTCATAATGTGATTCAAAGATGGGAAGAAAAGCAATGTATTTTAGAAAATGCTTATTTATATACAAGACATTTAAGTTATTCATTGAGCATTCACTGTGTATAGAGCATTCACTTTGTTTAGAATAGAAATAAGTTCAACATAAAACTGTTTTAATATATTAAGGAAACCAGGGCACATAGGATTTACATGTACATCATAATTATAACTTAGCACTTAAATACTGGTTCTTAAAAAGAGGTTCCAGTTTCAAGTTTTGCTTTAACTGTTAAAACATTTAATATATACATCTATTAAATGTGCATATAAATATTAATGAGATCCTTTAAAGTGAATTAACTCAAATGATTTCTTCACTAATTATATGATATGTATTAATGATTGATAAATTAAAGAAATTGATTTGATTGATTAATGATTACTTGAAATAGATGTGAATATTTATATGAGTTGTTGCTATCTTTTTTTGTATATAGTACTTTTTGGTGATCAAAGAGGAAATAGCATTCCTTAATTTCTGTTGTCCTTTTTTAAAGGTGCTCTAGGAATACTCTATAGAGGCAATGTATTTTCCGTCTTGCCTTTGTTTTTCTAAGTGTGAAAACAATTGCATAGCCATATACTATTGGATTTCTAGTATAAATTATAAAGCCTTACCATGTTGAAAATAAATATGTATTTTTCTTTCAATTAAAAAAGATCCACAGCAGAATGTAAAATCACTCTTCTAAAGTTTTGCTTTGAATCCTTTATCTTTATTCTAAATAATTTAAAATTAAAAAAAAACTCTAAAACTCCTCTATTTGCTTTGATTCTTAAGGTACATAAAATACTTTTTCAGTTGTTGATGTTGCATCCAGCTATATACATAGGTAGATGATAATGCTGCTGCCTCTAAATTAATCTTCCAACTTTGTAGTTTAAAACTTTATCTTACTACTACTATCTTTTGCTTCCAAATGTAACTGGCATATTTATGTGGTTAATAGGAAAACAATTCAAGCCTGTTAGCTCCTTTTTCTCAGTTCACATAGAGTTCTTGTTCACATCTCCAGTACCTGTCACCCCATGGAATTTTAATGTATTTATTTTGGTTGATATTGGGAGAAAACTTGAAAGTGTTGCTCATTCTTTGTGTGTATTAGTATTTGAGCTGAAACTAATTATTTTTCAGAAATTTAGGTGCCAAGGACAATTAAAAATATTATATTGAGATTTATGAGGTTATTTCTGTAAATATATTCTTACAGAAATCTTATATAAATATAGATTTTCATTGTTTTGTTTTGCTTTTTCTTCTGTTTTTGTGTTTTGGTTCAAAGGTCACCAGAAAGACCTACAGGGGATCTTAGAGAAAGAATGAAGAACAAGCGCCAAGATGTGGACTCTGAGCCTCAGAAAAGAAATACAGAGGAGTCATCCTCACCTGTTAGGGTAGGAAGGAATTTCCCAAAACAAAGTTAAATTTGTCAATTAATGATTTATTATTTAAGTTCCATTTTAAATACTATCTTATGTGCTAAATGATATCATAAATATGTAATGTGGCATTATGATGTTCTGTATGTATAACATAATTTAGAGAAAAAAGTCCCCTGGGAAAACTGTGATTGTTTCAGTTCTTCATGGTAGTTAAGATAAAAGGGATTGCTTAGTAGAGCTCAAGCTGAACTTAAGGTGTTTGTACCCTGGTAAAGATCGTGAGTATCTAAATATGTTCTTAAGTTTTCCGAATTCAGCCAACCATCATGTTCTGCTTCCAAGAAAGATTGAAGTGGCTTACAGTAGAAAACTCACATATTAGAACAATGAAAGCAAAACATGGGAGTAACAAAACTGAACTAAACTTAGGTAAAGGAAAGCACATATGACCACAAAATTTATCTGTGAATTTGTTGACAGTAAAGCCAAGAGAAATATAATTTATCATGTAGTTCATTGAATGAAAGAAAACAGGTGTTTGTTAGGAATGGAAAACTTTCCCAGAGCTAATGTTTTTCTGAAATTTATCATATCTCTGTGTGTGTGTGTGTGCGTGTGTGTGTAATAAATAGCTTTATTGAGATACAATTCACAACCATAAAATTAACCCACTTAAAGTGTACACACTAGTGTTTTTAGTATATTTGCAGTCATGCCACCATCCTGCAATTTCATGTTTTCATCACTCCATGAAGAAACCCCATACCCTTCAGCACTCACCCTCTTGTTCCCGCACTGATCACCAGCTGTGGGCAGCCACTAAATCCCTTTTCTTTCTCTAGATTTACCTAGCCTGGACATTTCACATAAATGTAATCATAAAATGTATGACCCTTTGTGACAAGCTTCTTTAACTTAGCATAGTGTTTCAAAGTTCAAGAACGAATATAGGATGCATCAGTATTTTATTTCTTGTTTTTGCCAAGTAATATTAACATCGTATTGCTATACCACATTTTGTTTATCCATTCATCAATTTATGGATATTTAGGCTGTTTCCACTTTTTGGCTTTTATTTCTTTTTGTGTGTGTGGATATGGTTTTATTTCGCTTAGGTTTATACTGAGGTATAGAATTGCTGAGTTATATGGTAATTCTATGTTTAACCTTTTCAGAAACTGCTGAACTGTTTTCTTACGCAGCTATGCCATTTTACATTTCTGACAGCAGTATATGAGGGTTCCATTTTCTCCACCTCCTCACCAACACTTATTATTATCTAACTTTTTGATTATAGCCATACTGGTGTGTGCGAAATGATAATGTGGTTGTGGTTTTGATTTGCATTTCCCTGATAGCTAATGATGTTGAACATCTTTTCCTGTGCTTATTGGCTATTTGTACATTTTCTTTGGAGATTCTTTGCCCATTTTTTAAATTGGGTTGTCTTTTTTATTAATTGAGTTATAAGAGTTCCTTTTATTTTGGATACAAGACCTACCTTATGTATATGGCTTGCAAATAGTTTCTCCCATTCTGTGGGTTGTCCTCACGTTCTTGATGGTGTCCTTTAAAGCACAAAAGTTTTCAATTTGTTGAAATACAATTTCTCTATTTTTTTTTGTTGTTGCTTGTGCTTTTGGTGTCATCTAAGAAACTATTGTTTAGGGTCACAAAGATTTACACCTATGTTTTCTTTGAAGAATTTTATAGTTTTAGCTCTTTTATTTAAGTCTTTCCTATGTTTTGAGCTAATTTTTATTTATGATATGAAGTAAGAGTCTGGCCTTATTCTTTTGCATGTATATATCCAGTTGTCCCATATTATAATTTTTTTAGGAAAGTTATTGAATTGTATAAGCAGCAATCTCTTTGATCATTTAAAATATGTAGAACCTTTATTTTTGACCCATGATAAATAAGCAGTATTATGTTGTAATTTGTAGAGACTTATTTTTTGGCATCTAAAGTAATGCAGTTTTAAGTATGTAGGTTTATAATGTCTGGTGTGATATAACAATAATTTTAGAACTCTTAAATGGTAGTTCTCAGCTGGAAAACTTAAATAGTAGTTCTCCAGCTGAGAACTACTATTTAAGTAGTTCTGAAGAAATTTATCAGAATTTCTTTTGAGAGAAGACCTTTTTCAAAATACACATAGATAATAATTTCTGGGTAGAGGCTAAACATGTGTATTGTGTTTTGAAATAACTTTGTTGATTCAGAATAATGGATAACCTCAGTGGTCTGCTGGTAAATGTTATTAAACTACTCTGATAAAAAGAAAGCCATGCTTTGTAGGATTTGCCAATTTCTTTGGTGTAGATACTTCATCCATGGGCAATTTCAAGCTGTCAAAGAGACATCACTGGTGGATGCACAGTTAGGAAGAGATGCTAAGTATCACACCATTATATATATAGTATTCACATTATATGTTATATACACACACAAAATATAAATAACATCATGACTAAAGTGTACTTAATATTTAAAAGTGAGTTCTGTGTAATTATTACCTTTGTTTTTAATAATACAATTTACTTGTTTATAATTTAATTTTTAATCATGGTTGTGTTTAACAATGGCTTCCAGAATTCCTAAAAATTTAAGTCAGCTCTTAGAAGTCGCTACAAACTGACTTCAGCACCCCACTAGATGAGCTGTAATTGATATAAGGAACAGACACCTGGAATTCATATTCTGAACATATTACTTTAAGAATTGTTAAACTCAGTCTCCTTATCTGTAAAAAATGAAGATTCTAGCTATGTGTTGGCATTGTGTTGCTGTGAAGAAAATATATGTAAAACAAGTAACGTGACTGACTATTGCATGATGACTGCTTAATACATGGTATATACTGGTGTTATAATGGCTTTTAGCTTTTTCTCTCAGATGTAAACTGACTTTAGGCCCTTAATGGGAGATGAACATCAGCATTGGAGATTAGGTTGTTATAGATATTTAAATGTAAGTATATTTACTTACATAATGTAAATGATAAATGTAAGTTTATCATAAAGGTTTTTATGTTCATCAAATCAAGTTAGTACACAGTAAAGTTGGCATTTGTTAAGAAATTTAAGCCCGATTCTTGCTTTCCCTAAATGAGAGAGCCCTCAAAGGCATTGAGCTTCATTCATACCTAATGAGAATTCATTCATACCTAAGGAGAATTCCTTAAAACCTGAATCTTGCAATTCAGGTTTTAGGGAATTCACTATCCAAACTTACAGAAAACTGTTAATAAGTTAGGATACCAGGGTATTAATTATTTGGGGTTCAGTGTATAACAGGTTAATAGGTACTGATCATTTCCATGATGCATTTCTGCTATAACACATGTGACTATTTATCTTCATGAAGTGAATTTCTATAGGAAGGTCAGGTTTATTTTAGGTAAGGGTAAGTGTAGCATAGATAGAATGGGTGTGATTTTCAGCAAATTAATTCTACCCCTTCTTTGTCACTGATGTCAACTCCAATGTATCTGAATTATGAGGTTGATAACTCCTGATCTTGTGGGGAGACAGATTCTTGAGTGCATAAATTGGAATTCTATAGCATTTGGTAGTATGTCAGAGAGATATAAGTAAAGTGCACAATGGATAGAATAAGTAATTGCCTGGGAAACCAGAGAACTATTCACGGGAGAAAAGTGACACTTACACTGGGTGTTGAAGGATAGGTGGAGTCAAAGAGGGGAAGGAAGAGGAAAAACCCAGCACAACAACTGTAAGGAGTTTTAAAGGATTAATGTGTTGAGAAACTGAAGCTGTGTGCTTAGGACATAAGAATGTCTTAATGTGATGTGAGTGTCCTAATGTGGATGTGAGATGAAGACTGAAGAGGTAGATTAAGACCAGACTGTGAATGGTCTTGTGTGCCATACTCATGGGTTAGCAATAGAGAAAAAAGACTTCCATGCTAAGAGATCTATTTTGTTTACCAATTTGCCTCTAGACCCTGGAACTAAATGGAAAATGGAAAGTGGTTTTGATGTACAACTAGGGTTGAGAACCCCCTGGTGGTCCAGGGTTTATGTTGTATAATGTGGTTAGTCTGAATTGGGATGTGCCATAATTATAAAATATGTACTGAATTTCAAAGACTTAGTATGAAAAGGAAATAAAATATTAAAATTTTTTATGTTTATATGGAAAAAAGAAAATATTGGAGATATAGTATGGAGAAAAAAATATAATAAAAAAATTAAAATTGCCCCTGTTTCTTTTTTTTAAATGTGAGGAGGAATTATAAAATTGCATATGTGCTTGCATTATATTTCTATTGGAAAAGGCTGGTCTAGATGATCTGAATCAGACTTAATACAGTGGAACTGAACTTAAGTGAGAGGTTTATTTGAGGTAAAGTCAGTAAGTAATAGTTACTTTTAACCAATAGAACTTTACAAATTCAAATTGCATTGTGTTTTCTTTTTCTATAACAGATACTTGTTATTTTATGGAATTTGAGCACAACAAATAAATTAGCTTTGAACACAAAATTAGGCTCCCAAATATGGAGTTAGGAGGAACAGTCAAGCATTTACTGATGATGAGACATACACATGCTGTAGGGGATCCTTGTCTCTTACGAGAAGCTTTGTGGCTGTATTCAGGAAAGAGTTAAATAATTCATCATTGTGGGAGGATATCTAGTTTAGTATTTAAAAATGCACTGAGTGTCCCTTTGCTTACATAAAATCTTACCTTGGAGTAGATGGGCAAGGGCAGTGGTCTAAGTTTATTTTTATGTACTAATCTTTGTTTTCTTTTTTTACTATGGTAAAATAGATATAAAACTTTACCATTTTAACAAGTTGTAGGTGTACAGTTCGGTGGCATAAGGTACATTTACTCTGCTGTGCGATCATCCACTTCCAAAACTTATTTATGATCTTTGTTTTTAAAGTCTTAATTTTGTTTTTGTTAAACTGCCCTCTTATATATGAAATTAAGCCAATTTGAATAACATTTTCCTGATGTTAATATTTTGTTAATTATACC